GAGCCCCCGAAGCTGCGGAGGCACAGCTCCGGGGCTCCCGGGCCACGCGCTGCCGCCGCCGAGCCCAGCCGCGGCGGTTGCGGAAGCGACTCAGGCTGCCTGGACACGAGCGTCCCGGAGCCCGCGAGGAGCCGGGGGACCCCGGGCTGGAAGAAGAGCCAAGCACCCGGACAGCCTGCGGGACTGGCACTTACCGGGCCTCTCAACCCCCAGACTTTGCAACTACAGCTGGAGGAGGAGCTGGAGGAAGCTGGGGACCGACAAAAGGGAGGGGATGAACAGCAGGAGGCGCACCCCGGCGAGGGGCCGGAGCCCAGGAGCCCCGCCGGGGAACCCGACGGACTGGTCCTGGACGTGCTGGGTCAGCGGCGCCCGCCTGCCACCAAGAGACACGTCTTCTGCTCTGTGTACTGCGTGGAGAGCGACCTGCCCCGGGCCACCACCGCGGAGCAGGTCTCGCCGACCGCCTCGCCCCCTCGGGTTCCGGTGCTGAATCCTCCCAGCACCCCCTCCTCCTTCCCCAGCCCCCGGCTGTCCCTCCCAGCGGACCCCCTCTCCCCCGACGGCGGCAGCATCGAGCTGGAGTTCTACCTGGCGCCCGAGCCGTTTTCCATGCCCAGCCTGTTGGGAACTCCACCCTACTCTGGCCTGGGCGGAGTAGGGGATCCCTATGCGCCCCTCATGGTGCTGATGTGCCGGGTGTGCCTGGAGGACAAGCCCATAAAGCCCCTGCCCTGCTGCAAGAAGGCCGTGTGCGAGGAGTGCCTCAAAGTCTACCTGAGCTCCCAGGTAACTTCACCCGCATCCTCGCCCCCTCCTGTTCCCGGTTCATCATTCCAAATCACTGTCCAGGAGGTCCAGCTCTCTGCTCCCCGCTCACGGGAAGAGACACTTACTGAGGACCTCTATCAATTTCTCATATCTTAGTTATTATTTAAGTGTGTTTTGTCCTCACTGGTTTACTTGGCTGGAATTTAACTCTGCTCTGAGCTTCAGGCTTTGCTTGGCAGCTGTGGAAGGAACAAGTTACAATGACTTGCCCTCTGCTTATTTCTTTTACTAGATTGCAAGCAAGAGCTTGCTCAAAGCAGAAGGGTAAGGAGACTGTCTCATCCACCTGGTATCCCAGAAACTAACAAACAGTGGGTATGAAATAAATATTTATGGAGCTGGTGAAGGGAAGGGTTGGAATTAATATTTCAGGTCCATGATACCTGGATTTTTTTGCTACATTTATATGTTCCAGAAAAAAACATGTAAAATTAAAAAAAAAATATATTCCTTGGCCCTTGCCCACTTTTCAGTTTTCGTTTTTCCACAGTGAACTTGAAGTATGTTTCTTCACTGATGTTTTATACCACCACAGTACTTTATTTCTTGAAAAGGAAAACAAAACAGAAAGAGCAAAACAAAACATAGCAAGGCTGAGAGGTTTAACAAAACAAGCACCAGTGATGTTTTCTTCCTCAGCCTCTTATTTGAAAACTTGTTTTTTTTTCTTGGAAAGCTTGAGAGTGCAAGAGAATAGCTTTCTTACACTGAGGGTAAATGGGTTCTTCCAGCAGTTTTCAATCTGTGATGTTTCTGCCAGTGTTTTGCACAATCCTGACTGCCCTTTGATCCCGTGTCTGATTGTCCTAGGCCTATTCATCTTTCAAAACCCTGTCTGTTCAGGTGCCAACCATTCTGTGAAGTCTTACCTCACCCCTCCAGGTCACTGCTTATATACTTTCAAAATACTTCTATATATCTTACATGCACTGGAGTTGTTCCTTACGTGTCTGTTTGTCTTGCTAGACTGTCTGGACAATGTCTTGTAATCCCATATCTGGTAGTTTCATGTTGAGTCCTTCTTACGTCATAGTGTTTAATAACATTGGCTGAAGCAAACTGAACAGGGCTCCACACAGTGCGGTTCTCCCATGGTTTGTGGCTAATCCATGCCTTGGGTCTAGACTGAAAGTGTGTACTGTGCTCAACTGAAGATATGAAGGGAAACTCAGACAGAATGGAATGTTACACAAACAGTAACTTGGCAAAAATAGTTGAGATTATCCAAAAGCCTGTGAGAGACTCTGTGTCTCTTTCATGCTGCGTCCACAACAGATACTTGAAACAGTAGGAATGTCTGCTGCTCATTGTGGTAGTTTCTATGACATCACCGTCAAACTGTTCTGCTGCCATCCATGAGCAAAGCCCTGTGGTGGGATTCAGACTTTCTCACAATAAGGACCCTGCTCCAAGGAAATCGCTGTGAGAGCAGATTACATAAAAGCAATACAAGGTAGTATATAATGAGATGTAGACAGAGTAACAATACCAGGCAGCACATTCTGTTAAATGCTGAGTACAAATATCTGTGGGTTTACAAGTTCAAGGGAAGTAGTCACTGTGGGTTGGGGTACTCTGCCTAGCAGTTTGATTTCCTTAAGGCCGGCCCTTTCCCCAAAGCAGTTTTCTTTTTCTTTTTTTAATAACCATACATTAGTTTTAGGAAGTCAGTGTTTTGATCTCTAATAGAAGATCAAAAGAAGAAAAGAGAAGGAATGGGGTGGGGGGTTCAGGGAAGAATGCATAGCAAGATGAGTCAAGTGTTCATTGCAACATATAACCACTAAAGACTCCTCCAAAGAGACAGTATCTGAAGCTTGTCTGCAGTGTATGTTCCTGACCTTCTTCCAGAGCATCTGACAGAACTTTCAGTAAAGAAACGTGTTCATATTTAAAATAATAAACAGCAACCAAAAGACGAGTCACGCATGCCCAGCATGTTTCCACCTCAGGGCTTCTTCACTTGCTGTTCCTGTCCCTTCAGGTCTGTATACAAATGTCACCCCCTGTGGCCTTCACTAACCACCGTTTTAAAAGTTGAGCCTCACACCACACTCCCTCCTGCTTTATGTTTTCTCCATAGCGCTAACATACTGTCTTATACTTAAATATGCTCCATGAAACAGGAGTTTACACATGATTTGTTCACTTCTGTATCTTTAACATCCACAGCATTTTCTGGCATGTAACAGATGTGCAACCAGTAGTTATTGAATTTATGAAGAGCTTGAGATTGCCCCAGAAACCAAGGCTGGGAAGTGGTGTTCTGCGAAGACGTTAAATTCTATTCTGAATTTCTTGATATTTAAGACAGACATAGAACAGGCAAATAGGTTTGCTAAGTTTGTTATTAAACGTAGAATTAAAGAGTGTAGATAAACTTTTCGCTTATACAAAAAATAGCCTTTTCTCAGAAAAAAATATAGTCTGTGGTTGTAATATTTCTGATCTATGTTAATTTAAAGGTCCCTTTTACTCAAAGGGTCTGTGTTTCCCTGTCACTTAACCTCTGTGCCTTAATTTCCTCATCCATGAAATGTTATTGCAGATGACTATCTGTAATAACTCACCAGGTCCAAAGCAAAAGGGGATCAAACTGCATGGTTTTGCTGCCTTACTGAACCAGATCAAAGGGCATACTGAATTCTTTCTCATCTTATAAGGTTTCTCAGGTTTGACAGAAGCAAATTTGTAAAGCCTGAATTTTCATGACTCTTAAAACCTTTTGAGATGAAATATGTTTGAAATAAAGAGCTGTTGATGATATATTTCCCATTTATATGAGTTTGTACCATATTAGTGCATTATTTAACATCATTTAAGAAAATAAAGCAGAGTTTCTATTAAGATTTTTATGCAAACATTAAAAATGTATATTAAATGTGAGTTGGGATATTGCCTGGTTAAATGAATATTCTTCTAAAAAGAGATGCTCAGTTCTTTGAAAGAACATATGAACTTGGAAGATAAGAATGCAGATTTTTAGATGATAAGTTTGTTTCCATTAATGTCCTGGACTGAATATGTGGCAAAGGCCTATGGGTAGGTGTCGACAATATTTCAATCCAACGTAGCAGATAGATTGTAAATCTTTGGCACTATAGTAGATGTTGATTTAGAGTCTATAGAGCACCATGACAGAGGTTGCAGGAATTGGTTTATATTGTCTGGGTATATAAATCCTTGCTGCATACATTTTAGAAGTGCGTTTCCCAGTGGTCTACATATGTGGATGTGAATATGGCTAAAGCACATAATCCAGGGATATCTGCAATCTCCTGAGCCCTGGTAGTGTTGACCTTAGCTGGTTTGGCCTTTAGCACACATTTTCTCAGGAAGAAAGATTATCTGTTGCCTTCTTTGTTTCACAGAATAATGTTATGCTCATTTCAGAAATCCTCTACAGGTATTTTTTTTGTGATTTTGATTTAGACATAAAAATCTGTTATATGAAATATTAATATTTAGTACTTTAGATAGAGAAAGGAGAGAGTTGAGCATGCTAAAGGGCTTGCTAAAGGTAACAGCTGTTGTGGCTTTCAGCACTCTGCTTAAAAGTGCTAGGGATTGGCAGATGCATATGACTTGGAATGTGTACACCTGTCCAATGAGTATTAATAGAGACGAGCAACGCATTTCTTCTACAGATTGTGAACAAAACAGCTGCTAGATGGTAATGTCCTAAAATGACTATCTTCTATAGTCACTCCAGAATCAGTAACCTAGGGGTAAAAGCTTATATATCCTGTTATTAAACTCTGAGTCATCCAGATCTTCATGGGTAAAAGTCTAACATAAATTTTTTTCCCCTTTAAACCTTAAAGCACCTGAATATTTTTAGAAACCATCATGTTCAATATGGAGTTTGAATGCATTTGTCTTCACACAGGTGAATTTATAGGTTCTATAATGCCAGGTGTGATTTCGGTAGTCCTGAAAGTGTGAAGAATAATATGAGACTGAAATCTGTTTTGAAGTCACTGTAAAAATTTTATAAGTGAGAATTAAGGTATATATAAGCTTATACTTTTGTGTACAAAATTTATGTGTTTGTATATTTGAGGGATGTGGTAACATGTGCTTTTGTGCCTGACTGGTGGACTTATTTTCCTCTCCTCTCTCTAGTTTTCTTTAATAATAATGTCTTTCTTTTTTCTTTTACTTTTCAAAATCTTTTTTTTTTTTTGTCCTTTTTGAGACCAGCCGCACCACACTCAGCCAGTGAGCACTGTGAGCGCACTGGTCATCTGTATATAGGATCCGAACCTGCGGCGGGAGCGCTGTTGCATTCCCAGCGCCGCACTCTCCCGAGTGCGCCACGGGCTCGGCCCTCAGAATCTGATTTTAACTGGCATTTGATTTCTGCAAAGGAATATCCTGTCAATTGCTGAGCCCTTGGGCCAGCAGGACCTGGTCAGAACCATGCTGCATGGGTATTTTCCTTCCCTTCCAGCTGATAAGGCTATGTAGAGAAACCATGTGTTGTGCTGCACTGCCTAAAAGATCTCAAGGTATCATTTGATACCTTTAGAGTGTGTTTTTGTTTTTGTTTTCTTTCTCCTAGAGTTCAGCTTTTATACCTGAAATCTCTTCCTTACTTTTGATATGAAAGATGAAAAGGAGAGAATATTAGAACTTGAACTCTCGGCTTTTTATTAAGAGTTTGTGATGGGCAAAGTAGACAGATATCTGAGTGGTAATTTCTTATAATTAACTTATTTGTTTATGAATCATTTATGCATTTAACAAATATATATTGGATACCTATGCCAAGTACCATGAGATATTCTATAAATGTATTAAATGCCCTCAAAAAACTCATCTTACAGCCTTGTTGGTAGTATTTTCCCCATCTTTATCTTGTGGCATAGAAAAGCTTTTTTAAAAGTTGCCAGACAACTATGGATTTCTTTACCTCTATCTGCTCCTCTCTGGGAGATTTTTATTAAACCAATTCT